ATCATTCAGGGTCTCGCACCCTGATCCCCTTACTAGCTTAATCGTCCTGGCTATACTGCAATAGCTTGTGCAATCTCTGCTCTAAATGTGGCTACAAACTATCCATGAGACTTGGTCTCCAAACCTGAATGTGAAATAGATTGCATAATCAACCCTTGCCACCTGATCCAAGAGATCCAAGGCGAACTCGAAATCCTGGCAGTCCTTCTACTAGCTGGCTCACCACTGGAGCTGGGACCACACCCTGATCCCACTCACGCATGCTCATCCCCATTCTGCAAAGTAACTATCCTCACGATCAAGGCATAACCAAGAATTCTCCTTCCCATAAGCTTCTCAGATTCTCCAAGACTCTCACCGATTCGAGTACGGATCATGTGCTTTCAGTAGTACGGGTTCAATACTACATTACACACCTATCCATACTTTCCTCAACAATCCTCCTAAATCCTCTAAGTCGCTTACTTCACCGGTACACTAATTGTCTGCTAAACAGCAAGACAATCTCTATCGTAGCACCTCCTAGGCTCCCCCTAGGTTCCCAACTTCACCGAACTACCCCACTAAGCTCACTAGAGCATATCCTTCGCATTCCTAGGTTCCCAACCTCGCCCAACCCTCAGTTGCTGAAAGGTTCTCATTAATGTCAACTAATTATATGAAGGCCATAAAAATATTTATCATAAATAGCTAAATTTTATCATTTAAGGTCGTCAAATACTTGTTATAAAAATACAAAGTTATACGGAGGTCATAAATATGCATCATCATTAGGGTCAGTTGGATTTGGCATGCCAAATTCTTCTTCAATAGACATTAAAAATTATTTTTAAAATTTGTCTACTTTTAAGTAACAATATTAATTTGACTTAACAGAAAAAATGTCAATAATATTAATCAGGTAAGCATAAACAAAATTTTCGATTTTGTTTTATCGTTAAATCACAAAAGTCTTCTATGAACAAAAATAAGAATAGATGATCTTTTATATATAAAAAAATCTCAATATCTATACAACTACAACATGTTATTTATCGTTTAACCACACTCCTATCTAATTTCCATGCATGTTGTTTTCACATCTTTTAGACCCGGAAAAGATCATAAAAATGTCATTTTAAGTGAATACAAAGCTAAAATTTGTTCATATAAAATCAAATATTATACTTACATAAAATCATTTCAAATACATATCAAACATTTAGATGCCCTTTTCAAGTTTGAGTGTTAATTGCTTCACCACCTGCACTCCAGATCTTCTATCAAGCAATGCCATCTCAAAAAAAAAAAAAAATCAACTGTAGTTCATTAGAAACTAAAATGTAAACAAACCTTACAATTAAAAATCGAGATCTACAAATATCTAACTACAAAAAGATCCTAACAAAGAACGTTGGTGAGGAAAACAGTGAGAAGTGTCGTAGTGTTGTGGTAACAGAGGGAAAGCAACATGGGTTCTACGAACCCTTTTGGCTCATTGATTTTGCCAACGTCTGCATCGCGATCCACCTGATTGGAGCATACCAAGTCTTCTGTCAACCTTTATTTGGTTTCTTCGAGATGAAGTGCAGACAAAAATGGCCAGATAGCAAGTTCATAACAACAGAACATATAGTAAACGTGCCATTTTTTGTGGAGAATACTACATCAACATGTTTAGGTTGGTTTGGAGAACAGCGTATGTGATAATGACTGCTGTGATAGCGACGATCTTTCCATTTTTCAATAGCTTCTTAGGGTTGATTGGAGCAGGTTCTTTCTATCCATTGACTGTGTATTTCCCGATAGAGATGTATATTGCGAGGGCTAAGATTCCAAGATTCTCGTTCACATGGGTGTGGTTGAAGATTCTGAGTTGGGTTTGTTTGGTGGTTTCGTTGGTTGCAGCTATTGGATCTGTGCAAGGTTTGTTGACAGATGTCAAGAAGTATAAACCCTTTGAGACAGTTTAGTTGATGTTGGGTTATGGGAATTGTAATAATTAATGTTTTTGCAATTACAAGTGATTGTATAAGAACTTTAAAGAAGATAATTTCAATATAATATATATAGTTGCTATTAATTACAAGTGATTGTAGCCCAAACAGCCTTAAAAATACACCCTTAAATGTTAAGAGATGTCTGCAATGATATTATATTTTTTGGAATGCGAACTTCTATTCTCGAATAATATGATATGTTATCAAATGGATTCTTTGTTTATTTAGAAAAACACTTTGTTTATAGAGTACAATGTTGTATTATACTTTTAAGAAGTAGTAGTAATTTGCATACAACCAATTTTGTCCAATCAGTTTAAAATCTTGTTGAATCAGTACAAAAGTACCCGCGATCAATTTGCGTGACTGTTGCTGAAAAATGAGTTTTAGATACAAGGATATTATGGCACATCTACAAGAACATAATTAGAATCGATTAAGGTCTGAATTTGAATACTTTTATTATATTCGTAATTTATAATATTTAAATATACATGTAACAACAGTAGAAAAAAAAAAAAGCCACACCCATCAAAGTCAAACATGAAAACTTATAAGGAAAAAAAATAAAGAGAGGGTTTTAAACTTTAAAATGAAAGCAAATAGAACTTTTTTCATATTAGTGTAGCATGTAACTTCACGAACATCTTTTTAAAATGATTAATTTTTTTTTGAACCATATGAATATTTTAAAGAGCTCTATGTTTTCTTATAACAATATTCAACATTCACTAAGACATATTGATATGACGATGTTAGAAATGATTTGTGATTTTCTAACGTGTGCAAGAACGATTGTTGGTATTAGAAATCTCATTACCGTCTTCAACAACCAATACACATATAAAGTTGGTGCTTTATAATATGCAAAACAACGTATTACAATGTATTACAATGTCTGAAGATTTACAAGAGTTTCTTAGCTCAATGGAAAGAATCAAAGAAGCACATAGGGCAAGTGCAACAATAAAGGAGCGAGCTGAAATGGATGATACTGAGTTTGAATTAACCGGAAGCTACATGCAGTTGTTTGGATTTCATATAGACACTAATTGTTTGCACCGTATGCAAGTCTCAGATAATCATGAAAATCAAGTATAAAGAAAGAAAATATGATTTGACTTTAACATTAATATTTAAATTTGTATGGTTTTCAGAAATGATACTACTTTCCATTTTCATTAGTTAAAAGAACCTTAGAGAATGATAAAGTAACCTTCAAGAAGCTAATACATACGTAATTTTCGAGCAACACATCCAGAAATTGTAAAGGATGCATACCTTGTTCATGTTTAATAAAACACCTTCTAATTCTAATAACATCTGCAAGACGATCATGTTGTTCCTGAAGTCTATCAATCATTGCATCCACACGACTAATCCACTTTTTAGCATCTTTTAGTATTTTTCTAAGTATGAGCTATTCAGTTTTCTTCTCCTTCACATGTGCTGATAGAAAGTATGAGTGGTAAATAAGGACTCTATCCTGAGTCCTTTCAGTTGGTTTTTTAGTTTGCGTCATCGCTTCAAAAATGTTATCGGCCATCTTAGCTAGTAGTGGTTTATTCGGACCTTCATAAAATGAGTTAATACTAGGACAATCATAAAAATTGTTCTCTTTCACAGTTCCAAACACCAAATTTACATGAACTCATTTTTAAATAAATAAGAGTCTAATAGTATTACAACACTTAAATAGTGTTTAAAGTAGTTGGTGGTAAATTGAAAGTAATAGGTGATAAATTAAAGGTGGTAGGTAGTAGGTTGTAAAGTGAAGGTGGTAGGTGGAAACCGAGTTTCTACATTGTGGTAGATGATGCATAATTTTCATTCGGTATGTAGTTGTATACACTACAGACGTCAAATAAATATGAACTATATGGTAACATTCTGATATGTTTAATAATCGTATTGCTTCTATCGTGTGGCCACAAGGGCTACCGCAACTCCGTCATATTCCATATATATAAATATATATATATATATATATATATATATATATATATATATATATATATATATATATATATATATATATATATATAATACCTTTGCTGTCACTATATCGTATTGCTTCTATAGTGGAGGTGGCGGGAGCAGTTAACGTCGACGGTAAAAGAGATGGTGTAGCTAAGGAGGTGATTTTAAGTGTAACAGTCGTGGTGGTAGTAATGTGGTGGAAATGGGATTGTCATATTTAGGCTTTTTAGAGAGAATAAGGAAGAGGAAGAGTTTTCAAATGAGGATGTAAACATACTGGTGATTAGTTTTTATAGTGTATTATATAGGTAATACTTGCTTGTGATTGGCTTATTCTATTTTACATGGATCATCATTTACACAATCTACACATATAATCTAAAGGACAATAATTCTCTTCCTTGTTTTTAAGACCTAGTCTTAAAATTTTTGGGTTTCATAATTATCCATGCATTATATATATATATATATATATATATATATATATATATATATATATATATATATATATATATATATATATATATATATATGACAAAACTTCAAAAATGGTCCTTGTGGTTTTCGAAAATATCAAGTTTAGTCCCTAAGTTCAAAAAACCTCACAGATGGTCCCTGTGGTTTCAAAACTTTTAACATTTGGTCCTTTTCGCTAACTCCGTTTGCTTTTAGCCGTTAAGTGAAGGGCAATTTTGTCATTTCACTTCCACAGGGACCATTTATGAAGTTTCAACTTGTTTTTTTTTTAAATGAAAAAAATATAATTATTTAATATTAAAGGATCCCACCTCTCTCTCTCTCTCTCTCCAACACAAATAGGGGAAAGGACTTTTTCGCTAACTCAGATCGAAGAAGACGAATAGGGAGAAAAAAAAATTGGTCCGGTGATGTTTGATCGAATCGCAAGGAGCGGCGGAGAGATCAATCTCCGACGACCCTCTAAGGGTTTAATTCACCTCCGGAGAGATCGATTAAAAACACACCCCACCCCCGCTTCTTCTTCCCCAACCATAAACACACACAAAGATCGAAGACTGTAAATCAATTTTGGAAAAGAAGCTTAACTCTCAATTCGAACATGTTTAGTGTGAGCGAGAATACATCTTTGCCAAGCATCACATTAGTGGAAGCATTCACTTTGCGTTTGATCTCCGCCATTGTTTCCTTCGCTGAATCATATATCGTGCAGTTCCTCTGAGAGAAGCATCCTTCGATATGATACTCCTCTGAATGATCGCCGAACATCTCCACCATCATGTTTGACTTTCTGATGATCGAAGATCTCTTCACGCTAATATCGGCTTATCACCTTCCATCCTCTCACCCAAAAAACCCTCCCACCGTTGATGTAGACTTGGTCTCTGTTAATCAATAGGTTATTGAAATCCTTGACATGTGGAAAGTAAATCTAATCGGAGCAAAAACACACAATTAACAATTTAACATCTAACATACCTTCCGACGAATGGTGAGGAGGCAATGACCGGAGGAATCCATGAGAACGAGTTCATAACTATCAGATGTAATTCCTTTTCGTATACAAATCCTTTTTCAGCGATAACCATGCCGATGTTCATTTCTTTGGAATCACTAACTCTGGTGCGAAACATGACTTTTGGAGCTATAGATTCAAAATTTTGATATCTTTTCGTTGATTTGGACCATGTAAAATAAGGAAAATGGGGCTAAAGTGGAATAGAAGATGCAACACACACACACAGACCCTTTAATATTAAATAATTATATTTTTGTTCTTTTTAAAAAAAATAAGTTAAAACTTCATAAATGGACCCTGTGGAAGTGAAATGACATAATTGCCCTTCACTTAACAGTCAAAAGCTAATGGAGTTAGCGAAAATGACCAAATGTTAAAACTTTTGAAACCACAGGGACTATCTGTGAGATTTTTTGAACTTAGGGACTAAACTTGATATTTTCGAAAACCACAGGGACCATTTTTGAAGTTTTGTCTATATATATATATATATATATATATATATATATATATATATATATATATATATATATATATATATATAGGTTTTATGGAAAACAAAAAACCCTAAAAATCAAAAAAAATACATAGAAAAATACTTAGAGATAAAAATAATTAATTTTTATATGAAAAAATTGCAGGTTTTTAAATAAATTTGCTGATTTTTTTTGGAAAAAAAAATTATTTTGTTTTTTAAATAAAATTGATATTTCTTTTTTTTTTTCAGCAAATTTATTAAAAAGCCTGCGAATTTTTATAAAAAAAATATAAAAAAAAAGTTTTTATAATCTCTAAATATTTTTTTTATGCAATTTTATGATTTTTTGGGTTTTTTTAGGATTTTTTTGTTTTTTAAATAATCGTTCCCTATATATATATATATATATATATATATATATATATATATATATATATATATATATATATATATATATATATATATAATTTCATATAAATATGTGTGTTACTTAGACCGGTTTACAATATATATTAGTCCGATTTTGTCCGTCTTTAGTCCGAATTGATTTGATTTAGATCGAACTAAATTGCGGTTTTATTGACAAAAGATAAAAAAATTAATGTAACCGGGTTACCCGCTCCCGAAACCAGAATTGGTTCCAAACATTTAAAAACTGTCTAGAGCGGTTCTGGTTCCGGTTCTAACTTTCTAGAAACCGTCGGTTCCGGTTTTTGTCAAATGAGGCGAGTACTCACTTATGCTCTTCCCTAGTCAAAACCATCATTTTCAAGTTTTTCAGCAAATTAAAACATTAACAAATTCTTCATTTTGGAACCAAAATACCAGAAAATTCTTGATTTTGGATTTTTAATACGAATTAAATTATTTTGTAACAAATTGATAGTTTTTACGAAACCGACGAATTTTGCTGTTTTGTGTAAATATAATGTTTCAAAATGAAAAGTGAGAGCAAGTAAGAACTTAACCATGGATGAGATCTAGATATATAAAAGACAAATCCAAATTTTTTAAGATTACAAAAGTTTTCTTTTGGAAGAGATTTTGGTCAAAATGTGGTTGGTGGGCACGATATATGCAATATAGAGTTTTTTTTAATAGGACATCTTATTATAATAGTTGATTGGAATTACGTTAGATGAGATTTATTAAAAAATGTAGCAAAACACGGATTTGATCTACATTTACATTTTTCTACTTGTTTTGGATTTACATATGATTCTATTTTTTTTGTTTTCTTTTCTGCTATACTCAGTTTGATAGCTAGCATCTTTGTATTTGCAATAACTTAATCGTCTTCATTTCTCCATTAAAAGAAGAGAACAATCGGTGTTTTGGTATCAATGATGAGTTCTAAATCTGTGAAACGCATCTCTGAATGTTTCATCAAACCACTGCACGACCTCCCACCGCAGGCAAAGCAGCCTTTCCACTTCACACCCTTCGAGCTGTCCAGTGTCAACGTCAACTACAGCCAAAAGGGTCTCCTTTTTGAAAAGCCACCACCATCGGAGAATCAAGATTTCTCCATAACCGCTTACCTAGATGACCTCCGACGCTCCTTCTCCGCCACCCTCGATTATTTCTACCCGCTCGCCGGCCGTTTGGCAACTGAAATAGAAGAAAACCCACCTTCATATGTTATCTACTTAGACACTAAAAACAGCCCCGGCGTCAAGTTCGTCTACGCCACGGTGGACGCCACCATATCGGACATCCTTCAGCCTGCCGATGTACCCATGGTTGTTCGTTCGTTTTTTGATCTTAATAACGCCATTAGCCACGATGGCCACACACTGCCATTGTTATCCATTCAAGTTACAGAGCTTGTCGATGGAATCTTTATCGGTGGATCCGCCAACCATGTGGTTGCCGATGGAAGCACCTTTTGGCATTTCATGGCTGCTTGGAGCGAAATATTCAAATCCAAAGAACAATCTCCTGTATTCACTGATGAAAGTTCTCTGTCTGCTGTCGAATCCTTTGAAGCTCTTCCCATTTTCCAATCACCAGTCGACAATTTAACGGCTTGCGGCTTTTGGTGTTGTCAAATTGTTTTAATCGGTTTAAGTTATGATTTAATAAGAACTAGTATTATGAATCTTAATTATACTGTCCAAAATAGAACTGAAATGATATATGTAGGTAGATTTATTTTCTGTTCAAAGTGTTCATATGTTTTTTAATGTACCATGATATATTAGAAAAGATGCAAGTAAAATTCTATGTTAAACAAATAATTCAAAGTATCTTATATTTGGTTGTCAGTCAAAATAGTTATATATAACTAATTGCTAACAATATAATTATGTATGAGTTTGTATAAATAAAGTACGCATCTCAATCAGTAGCAGTTTGTTATATATTTGTTACTATTGAATTTTTTTTAAACAAAAACAACATATGAGCATATTTGAAAATTTGTAATGTTGGATTGTGATTGTCGACATATTTAAGTTCATTGCGATGAAAGTTTGTGATGTAATATTTGCTGAGTCATTGTACTTTATAGAATATGAATAAAGAATAATACATAAATACTACTTTTTTTTGTATTTTACGAGATGATAATATATATATTTTTTTTGCTAAACTTGAAATTGTATTATTCTTTCCTGAAATAGTAATTAAGTAAAATAAGTTGTAGTTTACAACAAACTAGTAGGTGATTCTGGGCTCGCCCAAAATATTTTTTTAAACGAGACCAAAATTGTTGAGTTCAACAAAGTCTACGGACCATTTATTTAAATTAAACGAAATCCCTTACAAAAATCTTTAATATAAATAAAAAAACAAAATTAAGATCAAAAATATCAAGTTCAACAAAATAAAAGGACCATTTATGTAAATCAAGCCAATTCAAGGACCATTTATTTAAATTAGAGTAAATTACACTAATGGTCCCTATGGTTTAGGGTAATTTGCGTGTTTGGTCCCTAACTTATTTTTTTAACTCGGAAGGTCCCTACTGTTTGTTTTTGTTACGCGCTTGGTCCCTGTCGTACATAAAAAGTCTATTTTTCCCTTTATTTTTTAATTTATTTAAATAAACACACCCTTAATCTCACCCTTCTCACCTTACCTTACGTACCCCATCATTTTTTCCTCTTTAAATAATAGTATTTTTAGGTATGAGAGGGACCAAGCGCGTAACAAAAACAAACAATAAGGACCAAACACGTAATAAAAACAACCAGTAGGGACCTTCCGAGTTAAAAAAATAAGTTAGGGACCAAACGTGCAAATTACCCCAAACCATAGGGACCATTCATGTAATTTACTCTTTAAATTAAATCAATTCCCTCACAAAAATCTTTTATATATATAAAAAAATAAAAAATGAACCAAAGTATCAAGTTCAACAAAATCTAAAGACCATTTTTTTAAATTAGCCCGATTCCCTCAAAAAAATCACCGTTCATAAGCAATTCTATCAAAAAAAATCTTTAATATATATAAAAAATAAAAATGAGACCAGAAGTGTTAATTTTAACAAAATCTAGGGATTATTTTTGTAAATCAGGTCGATTCCTTCCAAAAAATCACTGTTCATAAGCGTCTTATGATTTTCATATGTAAACTAGGAGAGTATCCCCGTTTTGCGGGGGTGGGGGTTGGATATGCATTCATGATTGACAAATAGATATACAACTAATGGAATACAACAAATAACAATGTGTTTTGGGTAAAAATTCAAATAAATTGCGGAAAACAAAAACCAATAAATTTAATGTCAAAGTAAATTGCAAGTACATTGCTATTGAGGGTATTTGCCACCTAAATATGGAAAAATACACCAAAGAGAAACAATAAATTACCATATTGTCTTTATCATCCCAAGTTCAATAATAACATATTAAATAACCATTTTCTCCACAGCTTTTCGACTCTTTATGACCTCCAAAGGGTACTCACTAACCATCTTTTCAAGTTCCACCATGTGATTTTGGTAAGTTTCCCTTTTTCCCATTAAACTTTTGAATTGTGCATTTTGACCCTTGCAGCTAGTACACGGGGCGTACCCATATGGTATGCTTAGCATACTGGCTAGAGAACGAATTGGGACTTCAGGAGCGTACGTTGGGTGTATGTTATGGTACACTGGGTGTACACGCGGATTTAGAAAAACCCTAATGTGGGTTGTTGCACCCTATAAATTCATCCATAACTTTTAGAGTTGGCCTCATTTCATGTCCCTAAACGTCCCTTTTAGCCTCCCATCTTGCATTTTGAGCTTTTGAAGTAAAAGTTGGTGTGTTTTGGTCCATCTTTGAAGAACCCTAGAAGGAAGTGAAGTCTATAGCTTGGTGGGATAATGGAGATCCAGAACCTCTACCTATTTTGCAAGGATTTTAAGGTATCAAGTTCTTATCATGAATACTAGTTGGTTACATCTCTCTTTGGGTCAATTTATTATGTTTTAAACCATGGTTGGGTGGACAATTGGACTAGGAAGTCCCAAAAGACTTATCCTTTCAGATTTAGGCTTTCCATAGCCCCCTCGTGCATAAAGGCGTCGTCTTTATGAAGCTAAGAGTCTCATGCAAGCATTAAGTCATGTATTAAGCCCTTATTAAGCTAAAGAGACTTGTTTAGCCTTGCATGAATGTAAAGTTATCGATTTTACGTGTTTTCTT